AGATAAGGCTAATCTCATTAACTGTTACCACAAATGAACCAGGTGACATAATACTTCCTTCTACCTATGGAGTTCTGTCTACCAGCTATTATTACTATTTCAACATTTTAATCCATTACGTCGAGCTATCACAACAATGTATTCATTACTTTTTGCATTACAATTTATTGAGCTATCAACACAATTTATCTGATACAGTAGATAGCTACTTCAACCATTTACTTATTACTTTAATCTAGTATTAACTATTTTAAAATTGCATATTTTACTTTTACTTATTGACTTGAGCCATTGCTATACCAGCCAATAATGTATTGTTTTTTGCTATCCATTTCAACCATTGAACTGTTGCTTGTTAGCACTTCTCAAACATTGGATATATAACATTGTAGTTTTGGGATTGTAATTTTGGCAGCAAAGTTTGACTTCTGCTCTATGTAATGTTTTTGGACCAATGTTGGTGCTAAATGTAGAAAATGTCTCCCCCAAATCACTTGATACAACTTGTCACTCAGCACACTTACAGCTGATTTAGCGCATACCAAATCAGATAATGTCAGTTTATATATCCATGTACCCTTAGAAATTACTGCGTCGTGAATTTTCGTCGTTTTCAGCCCTTTTCAGTCACAAGTTACAGTATCTTCTTTGACATAACTGTCAACGACTTCCTGATTGTTTGTTAAATGCAGTCTGTTTAGTGTTGTGACAGCAGCATGTTTTTTCTGTTTTTCTGTCAGAATTTTAAGCTTATAGCCAGCGTTTCAATTGAAATCCAATGTGCTCCAATCAGATGTTTCAATGTCACTTAATTAATTACACAGTATACTGACACAGAGTTAACTTGTGAAATTTCTTTTAAAAATTAATTACTAATTTACTAATTACTAACAATACAAGTTGCAGTTTCTCAAATGGTGCTTTCCTAGATTTTATACAATTGCTAACAAAATATTTTGGTGTGTGGCACTTTTTTGGATTCATTGATGTTTTGATGCTTTATAAACTTAACTTATCTTTATTAGTTAATGTTAATGTTTCCTTTATGGTAACCCATTTAACAACAGAGTAATCGGAAATCTGAACCAGATTTCTTTTAATTAGAGGCGAACCTTAACTGGGTTATTCTATAGTTCTGACGTTCATATGAAAACACTATGAAGCAGGTCTCCTGATAACTGGGTTAGGAAGGGACTTCTTCAGGCGTAGAAATGCGGTGGGTGTCTAGGGATGTTGTGCTCTAACTAAAACCATTGTGTTCACCAACATGATTTCTTGTTGCGACTTCAAGACTGGTCTTAGTTTACCACTAGTTTACTCAGTTATATGCAGCATGGCATTTCACATACAGCTGGCAGGGGCTTGAAGTGTAACACATTTACTCCTGAAGACTGGGGGATTACATCCGAATAATGCTGCCTGTTCTGATGAATTCTACTGTCTGTTATGACATGCCAGTGACAGGCTGCAGCAGGAATCTAGTTGATTCCATCCCATTTTACACAACACACTGACTAACACTGAAATCTTTAAGTGTTGCCATTAGTCAAATGGTCAATGACTGCCATACAATGAAATTTCAAAGAAAACCAGAGTGGTTCAGGAATTTGTCAGTGACTTTAGTTCAACCCAGATCTCAACCCAGCAGAGACCTTTGGGTGCATTGTGTAACTAGGGCAGCAGCAGCCTGAAGGTGACACAAGTGGGGTCATATGGGAAGGCCAGCATTAATCCCAGATTGTCTGGAAACAGAGATCGAAAGCACTCTACATCACAGTTCTGGATCTTTGGAAGATTATTAATTTCAGTGAAATATTATTTTGAAAACTAACATAAATGCTCACAGCAGACAACTACTGATATGTGCTGATTAAATATGGTGAAAACTGATTATGGGTTAGTGGATCAAAGGGAACAATCACTTCTTCCTCAAATAAAACATGAATTTGTTGGTCTTACGTAGGTCAAAGTCATGTCAAGAAACACAGAAAAATAACACGGGTCAATAACATAACCAGACTGCAGTCAATCTCACTTTGTTCATATGCGGGCATAGTGTGTAGAATTGATCATCACTGAATCAATGCCAGTGATGGAAATTGATTGATTTCCACACAAAGAGAGACTAGAACTAATGGATGAATTTCAGATGTTTGGTATTTGTCTTGTTAGAGAATTTAGAGAGCTGAATTTCCTGCAGTGCCAAGCCACTAGAGCTGTGTTAATTCACTAACTATTCATGATGGTGAATGGTACTTAGAGTAAGAAGGGCCGTTTAATATTTGAGGTGAATTTCAGCTTTCAGGTTTGTTTGGAGGACAGCTGGATGGTCACTTTTAACAATTGGGTTTAGTCAGAAACTGTAAGGCTGTGGACTTGGCATTTAATTAATTTAAAAATGCATATTCACTTTCTAAAACTCCCCATCTGGTCATTGATTAAAGCCCTAAAAACTGTTAACAAGTTTTTTTTCATGAAAAGAATTTCTTCCTGCTTTAAAATTTCCTAAATGCTTTCAAGGTTCAAGGTTCAAGGTCTTTTATTGGTCACAAACACAGCTATATACGGTATAACGTACAGTGAAATGCGTTGTGTTCCTGTTTTGGACTGTACACCTGTGACTTTAGAATAAGCAGATCTACGAAGCCCCTGCCTCTATTTCCATCCATCCCTCTGCTACTTGCTGCAGCTCAAACATACCAACTTACCTGTGACTCTGCTCCACCCCTGTAAAACTGCTCTATACTCCACAGTGACAAGTTGTAATATTAGAGCAATTCAGTCATACATGTTTGAACTGGAAACCTGAGAACAATGACACGGAAGGCTCAACCCTGCAGGTGGACAGAATTTTTTCCTTCGATTTTTTTACTTACGAAATCCTTAAAGTCTGAATCTGTGTTTTTAAGACTGTCACTGATATACTGCCGTTTCAAAATGCGAATGCTCAGCCATGGAGTTGACTGCTGATATTCCCCACAGTTGGGTTCAATATATTAAAAAACTCAACCTGGACAACAAAGTAACAACATGATTATCATTGGCAATGGTCTTTAAAGCTAAGATAAACTAATTTTAAATTTGCTTTGAACCTTCCATATAAGTATGGTTTCTGTAACAACCTTATTTAATTCAGTTAGTGTTACATATATTTGAATTTATCTCACTTGTTTCAGAGATTGAATCTGCACCTGGAATATCTGATAGGGGTTTTAACGGGGTAAACATTTTGAAACTGAAAAGAAAATGCAGCGACAAAAGAGTTTACTATCCTGGGAAGAAATGACAAGGCTTCTAATAAAACATTGCCTAAACATGTTTAAACAATTGTTCAGGCAATCAGTACAGCCAGTTAGCATAAACACAGTGCACAAGTTACTACTTTGAGAAGTTTAACTTGTAGTCCTTAATTTAATGTAATGCTTTTACAAGAAAATCTTTCCTCATACTGAAGCTCACTGATTTAGATTATATATAAATGAGAAACATTAAAATGTCATTTTAGTTTTACAGAGATTTTGTGCTGTGCAGTAAATTCCTGGAATCTCAACAGATTGCCTGGCAATTAGCAAAATGAAGAACTATTCCGTTAATCAAGTGCTTTCTAATTTAATTTATTATTCTTAAGTTAATTTAAAGGTGCAATATGCAATACTTTAACTACAGGAGCAAACAAATATTTGCTATGAAGAAATATAGTGGGGGTAATGCCATCTTTAGCAGAGGATAAAGTCACACTCTCTCTCTGTGCGTTGAAATCTGAACTTTATGGTTATATGTTTTGGCAGGCAGTCCGGCTGCACATGCATGTTAGTGCACGTTAGTCTTTCCCTTTAAAACGGTTGCTCCTTTGCACATTCATAAACAGGCCAAGACTGACATCCCTCACTGTGCATTGCAGAAGCAAGAGTACAGCCTCGGGCATTCAGCCGGTGCCCCCCAAAAAACAAATTAAAAATATATATATATTATTTACCTGATTTATGTGCACTCATTTCATTTCAGCTCAGAGAGTCTCTGCTGCTGTTTTGCTGGGAGGTGTAGCTGCTTGTTTTGGCCTGAGATGCTGACATTCCAGCAATATCTGCTAGTTTTGAGTGTTGCATACAGCAACTTTAAGCAATGTAATGACATAAACCTTGTTTCATGAGCAACCCTCCTAGCGTCCAGCTCAGCTGGAAGCAGTAAAGCATTATGGCTACATGTTGGTGTCAAAAATGGCAGCATGCAAGACTCATGCTTACTATTATCATCATATGACCATTAGAAGCCTTGTACAGTAATTGAAATGTATTTTTTAACCAGTATTGTCAATGTGATTCAAATGGTAAATGGTCTGCACTCATACAGTTCTTTTCTACCTTGCTCGCTACTTGTCGACTCAAAGTGCTTTACAATGTTTCTCATTCAGCCATTCACACACCAATGGCGACAGAGCTTCCATGTAAGGTGCCTGCCTGTAATTGGGAGCAACTTCAGGTTTAGTGTCTTCCCCAAGGACACTTCGACATGTGGAGGGTCCAGGGATTAAAGCACCAACCTTGAGATTAGTAGACAACCCACTACACCACCTGAGCCACAGCAGATTTAAATATCAAGATATTTTATGTAAGGTGTAGCTTTGTCATTTTTTAATGCATTTGTTGATGCTTTTTGGTTACCCATGCTCTGGTTGCTTGCTGCTTGTTGACTGAAAGATTGATTGCTTTTATTGTGTTGTCATGTACACAGCATACAAGGTGTCTTTGATTTTAATCCTGTTTTACTTTCACAGCATTTCTCTTATTACCTTTAAAAACCAGCCAAAAGTAGATGGCACAATGAGTTATTCTGCAGTGCACCTGTAGTAGACTTTGGAAAATGTTTTCTAGGACATCCTCACTGTCAGGTTTTGGTGTCAGAATTCCCACATTATTGGTGTGTTAAACCCACTTGATCACTGCAGCACAGCATTGGATAGGAAACTGAGCTGAATGTGTGATGCGTCTGCAGGGACTGACCGGTGTAACAGGTGCCAGTGGAGGTGGAGTTGGAGCATGGGCACGGTGCACAGGGGTCGGTCAGGGCAGCTCTGGGGCTGCGGTAGAAACCAGGCTTACACTCCTCACAGTTGGATCCCTGGGTGTTGCCCTCACAGTTCAGACACACTCCTGGAAGGCAAAACAAAGATCACATGGTTACCTAATTTTTCTTCCTGGAACTACTTACATCAGAAAGTGGGATTAACTGGTTATGTAAGTAGGGTATAAAGTCAGAGGTTCTTTCACTTTCAAAAAATAATAACTTTGGACTAAGATTAGATTTTTATGAATCTAGTTGGTGATCATGCTTTGCAAATTACAAAAAATGTGATGTGTTATGTGAAGTATGGTAACATTAATGCATTCATCCTTCTTTAAAGCAGAACTTCATGGATGGAGCCCTACTTAAACAGGTTAAGACACTTTAAGCCCTTTTAATGCCATATAGAATGCATTGTAAGAACTGTTTCATAATCATACAGGCCAAAAACTGAAAGCAGAACAAAAAAACAGGGAGGATGATGTGTGACGACATGTTGTGTAAATTTTGGCTAAAACCTTGGCTGGCTCATTCTGAGCTGATGGTTCGTCACTGCTGCAGCAGTGACAGTGTTTGCTACAGGTCTTATGTTGCTGACTGGAAGCCCACAAAAAAGGACTGATCAGCAGAAACCACTGTCATAGCACCTCCTGACAGAAAGCAGGCACACAGAAACACTTCAAACTAACACTACTGCCGGCAACAGCCAGAGGGCAAGAGACAAGACCCATAAATGAAATTCAAACGTTTTTACTATATTCTAAGGAGGTTTCTGAGTCTATTTGTTTTTCTTGTTGTTGTTTCAGGACCTCAAGATTCCATGTTTTAGTATATTTACAAAGCTCTGACTCTCAACTATAGAATATTTTAGGCAGAATATCAAATGTGAATATTAGAGGAGTCTTTATTGACTCAAAGAAATTCAGATGTTGCAGCAGTACCAGGACAGAAGCAAAGGAAGTAAAGACAATTTTTTTAAAAAAAAATGCTGCATGGATTGTTTTGTGTGAGGTAGTTTTTACTGGAAAAACTTCAAAAAGTAAAAAAAAAAAAAAAAAGAAATGTTCTCAAGAGAATTAGAGAGAGAGAATTATATAAAATGAAAAAAGAAAGAAAAACAAAACAGAAATAATACAGGAGCAACAAACACATAAGTAAGCAATAAGCATGCAGTATCAATGACCACACACAACTTTTTAAACATGTATTTGCTTCTATGTATACATATATAGTTTAATATAGAATGAAACAGAAAATATAATGTGAAATATAACAATACCATCTAACATAGTACAAAACAGCAATATCCTACGGCAATACAGTGAACAATACAAAATAAAGCATTATATAGTATAAATGTACTAGAACAGAAGATTAATAAATGAACAGTGAATATAGTATTATAATATAGGTAGATAATTAGAAGTAGAATATAGCCAATAATGTATGTTTTAGTGTACACTATTTGCAAATCAGTCCAACACAGAGGCAGTGAAGCAGAAGAGTGGAGCAACTGTCCTGATGGTGCCAAACACTACACTATGTTTCTATGTCATCCCCATGTACATACCGAAGTGGACTTTTAAAGCCAATGTGCATGCAATTTGTATATAGGTACGGGTTGGCTACGCAGACAGTTGCACTGAGCCTCATATCAAAAACAGAGAATCTGGCTCGCTATGGCTTTTTGGTTTATACAGAATATAGCAGTTAGTACATGTTGGACTGTAGCATCATGTGAATGTGATTATTGAGGATGCTGTGTAGGCATAACTCCGAAAACTCTGAGAAATGTAGAACTTCCAACTGTGTTTGGGCAGTGTCAATGAGCCACGATGTACAAATCAAACTACCTTTAAAAAAAAATGGTTGGAACACGTTTTGTTTTCCTGGCACAGTCGGCACATCACAAATTTTGGGGTGCAATTGTTCGGTCTGCACAAACCCTTGCGGGGTTATGCAGATTTATTTAGGTCATGCCCCTGCGGACATGTGAAAAGCACGAATTTTCCTTTAGGCCTTGATTATACTCCCATGCAGACGTGCACTGACACAGCTGCAGACACCACAGATGCACAGTTGTTGATATTATCATACATTCTCCACTGCAGGAGGCCACTTAGAAGACTCAGTTCCATTCATGTGCCCTAGGTCATATGCATTTACTCCGTGTATGCACACTACTGCCCTTGTAGTGCGGTCACTCTCACAGACTTGGGCAGATGAAAAAATGTAGATTATGCACACTCTCAAGTACTCGTGCATGTGTAAAGTATAACAATTGTTATACTAGCAGTCAGCTCAGTGTACTCTGAGAGGTGAAACCCAGGGTAGACGTAGTCTCCTCTCTATGATGATCTTTACCTCAACCTCATACGTGTTTTCATGTCCATTTTTTCAAATGTCACACTAAAATCGGATCAGACTGCTTCCCCAAAAGACACTGATATAGCAGTAAAAAGAAATACAAACCAGTCAAACTGCATTATATCAGCACACAAGCACGGTTGTTTCTTTCAGAGGTAGGATGGCTACACTGAAGTCAGAGGTTCTTCAACTAAAAAAAGGCCTGCCATTTTTATCCACACAGAATTATATAAATTACTTTAGCTTTTTTTTGTTTTTTTCAAAAACTCTTCAGTTAAAATACAAAAATGTTATTCTACAATTCTACAATTTCATTTAACAGACGCTTTTATCCAAAGCAACGTACATCTTCTTCTTGTAAGTAGATTGTGCTGTTTGTCGTTGAGCTTCTGTATGTTTTTGAGATGTGATGTCTCTACCTACACAGGGAGAGGTTATGTGGACGTGACTTAATCTGTCTACAGACTGTTGCTATACCTTTGCGTAACAGTGGTTCTAACCCAAAGCAATGAAATGCTGCAGTCACTGCAGCAAACCCTGCACATTACAGCTCAAATTGTTGGTTGAAGAGAGCATGTACTTAAAAGGAAATGCTACATTTCACCAAACAGTGGACAATTGAAGACAAATAACAGTTTTCACTCAGAGTGAGTTGACATTAAATTAAAGATGACATTTATTATGTTAAATGTGTCATAAAAAAGCTGTGTATTCATGGTTAATAGGCCATTCTTCTTGTGAAAAATGTTCATGATGATAGACTGAAAACCTTCATTTATCTCTACACTACATATTACTTCAGCTGAAAACAATGGCTCAGTATGGGGACAGTCTTCCAGCATCCTGTTGGAAATGGCGAGTCCCCGTCATGTTTATCGGAGGTACACAGTGTTTGGGATACTGTATAATTTGCATTTGCACAATGTGTTCTTGTGCAAGCAGCCCAAGGGAGAGGCCAGGGTCAGTCTTTAAAGGAGCTGTCAACCCTGAGCTATGTTAATCCACAGCCCTGTGAGCACTGAGCCCAGGCAAAGGCTACAGCGCTCCATCTGCCCCTGCATTATAATGGAAAGACATATGGCTTCTAAAACTGCTGCCCCCCCACCCCCTACCCCACCCACGTCCTGACCCTTCTACCTATCCTCCTTTTAAAGCCTGTCACTTGCTGGTGGTTTTCTAATTCTCAAAGCCTGACGACTGGAGGTGAGCAGCAATCCTACGTTTTATGTGATCAAGAACACAGAAGTGGATAATTCCAACCCTAAATCACACAGGAAACTGGATTTGTGCCATTCTGCACTTTTTAACATTCTCTCTTTAGTTTTCTTAGCTTTCTGTATCCTTCTCACCAACTGAATATCACACTTTGGTTGAGGTCTGATGGTAAACATTCATTTGAGACAAACTGGAGAGCTTGTGTGCTGCCAAAGTCCCTAATTAAACACAGCAGATGATCCTCAGCATATAGCACCAAGGTGTGAAACTCAAGAGTTAAATTTATGGGTAACTTAATGAGCATTTTGCAGGCAAAGATTGGTTGGACCATTAAGCTTCAAGTTTCTCATGCATTGTTCGTTTACACAGTGGCTGCATGCTGAAAGGAGCACATGCATCTGCTTCTTTTATTACAGGCACCAATAGATCACTGTTGTCATTGTGGGGCCTTTAGAAGACAAAGTATAGCCTATTGAGAAACCCCTATGATTTTCTGCTTTGCCAGTGCTGCAACATTTAGTTGCAACAAAAAGTCAAAGACACAAAAATAAATTAAAGATAATAGATTATTTTATTAAAAGTGACTATCAGTGGGCCTGGCTTCTTCAAAGACACTTTTTGATATGCAGACAGGTAAAGCTGGGGTTAGAACCAGCAATCCTGCCATTTGTAGTCAGTCTGACCTACCAGTCAAACTACTGCATATCTACGTTGTCATGATGGACGACCATTCGGATATCAAAATTGTTATGCGGATACCACCACAACGACCGAATATTTGGATATACGGGTCCAGCCCTAACAGACGGGTGACAAAATAAAGGATGTGATGCGAATCATACGCTGTCATGGTCACAGATCTCAACCCAACTAAACACCTGTGGGAGACTTTGGAAAACACTCTCCACCATCATCATCAAAACTTTCATGTATCTGGAGAATTGTGTTACTCCATCCAGTAGAGTTTCTCCAAAAGATGCAACATATCCAGAGACTTACAGACTTAATGCCAAGGAGAACTGAAGATATTCTGGCAGTACATGGAGATCCAACAACCCTTCTAAGACACTAGATGTTAGGCTTTCCTTTAATTTATCACACATCTGTACATAGTCCTTTGAATCTGAGCTTGTTAAGGAGTTAGTTGCTGAAGCTTTGTTTCATGAATGGTACAAGCAATATAAGTTAGCTTTAAAACTAGTAGTTTACTTGATCAGAAGAATAAAGTAGTGTAAAATAAAAATAGTCAAGTAACATCCAAGTATCTGTAAATTAAGCTACAAGTTCAACAGACTTTCCTAAATATACTTAGGTGCTTTTTAGTTCTGATTTTGGAGTCACATTCTCTGGACTCGAAGTCAGGGCAAATGCTTGAATCAAAATCAAGCTACCTCGGCTCATTCACAACTGATCCAGACAATCTTAAATACAAAAAAGCATGAAACAAGAATTAAAGCTTGGTTTGAGTGATTATTAAAACAGTTGTCAAGAGGCCACTGGGCAACAGTCTAATGCACTGTTTCAATGTAGTCAGGAGGCTCACCAGACTGTGGATGGCAGTAGTTGGTGTGGTTGTTACACTGGCAGGGCCGGCAGCCAGTGCTACTGAAGTGGAAGAAACCTGGGTGGCATTCATCACACTTGGGTCCGTACACTCCTGTCTTGCACATGCATATCCCTGAGCTGGAAGGTAGAGCAGAGGACAAAATTAATACAACAGATACAACAGTGTACAAAATACAGCCTCAGAAAGCATTTCAACATAATACAAGTCCAAGCTTGGACTGTTGGTGGAGCACTGTGTGTGTGTGTGTTTTGGACTGCAGTCATGACACCTGACACCCAGGCTGTGCAGACTCCTGCAGACTCTCCCATCCATCTGCTTTCTATAGGCCTGCTGCAGGTATGAAGTATGTAGGAAGTACCGCTCATATCAGTTACCCCACAAACGCATTAAGAATGTTTTGCAGGTTTGCTGCTTTTTCCTTATGTTATTCCCTAATATGTCATTGCGTCTCCACCTAAAGGATCAGTCTACAAAAATCACAAAAAAATAACATTATCTCACCTTCACCTACTCTTTATCTGTTTTATTTAACTGAGTTCAGACATGTTTGTCTGTAAGACATCATCCGCTACATCGATGCAACCCATTTAGGTTTAGGTGATGATCTAAACCTAACAGCATGTAGGCTGGGAAAAACAACATAGACTTTGACAAGACCTATTAACTGGCTAATGGAGCTGAACTTTTTTAATTAATTCAAGAAGCAAAACTAGCTTATTAACAGGCTTCCCAGCACGTACTGTTTTGAAAGTTGAGGGCAAGGCAGGCCTTTGATATATGGCTCCACCTCCCCGGTCACAACTGTGCACAGTGAGCATGGCGTCATCAGCGTAAAATCAGCACCCATTTCTGAGATGTTTTGGCATCGCTTCTGGGAAGCTGTCATTTTGAAATTGTAAAATACAGTCTATGCATTAGCTCTCTGAACCCCAAAACCCACTGGCAGGTTTGAAGGGCACGCTATCTTTAACAATGACCAAAATCACACTATTTATCAGAGCCACCCACTGCACAAAGACACATCACAGTGACGTCTTTTCTTAGTCGTTTTTGGACGTCCAATTTTGGTCACAGGCAGGTGTAGACTGCAACACCAGAAGACATCTTTTTCCGACGTCTACCGAACATCTAGTATTGACGCCACAGGACCTCTATGTAATGTGGTTGTTATGGACGTTTTATGGACATCCTTATAAATACCATTTCTAAAATAAGATTAAATTTGACATGGAAAAGAGGACCACATTTGGACTACAATTAGCCTTTACATAGAGGTCCTGTGGACGTCAATACTAGACGTTCGGTAGACGTCGGAAAAAAAACATCTTCTGGCATTACAGTCTGCACCTGCCTGTGACCAAAATTGGACATCCAAAAATGACTAAGAAAAGACTGCACTGCCACGTGTCTTTGCGCAGTGGGATGCTCGTCGTTACTTTCATTTCTCTGTAAACGAATACAACTCTGAAAAGAAAGACACATGCAGGAAAACGACGACTGGAACATGTACTGTGATTGCAGCGATGGATAATCTGACAATTGTAACTGAGAGGCCAGCGGTGGGGAATGTATCTGCCGCTTTGTGAAGCTTTTAGTGAGCTCGTCAAGGCTGACTACATTAGCTACGACCCTAGCCTAGCTGCTGCTGCGGCTGCTGCTGCTTCTTCTTCTATTGATTTGGCGGTTGGCATCCAACGTTCAGGTGCATTACTGCCACGTACTGTACACACCATCGATATGTATAATAAAGGCCTTTATTATACATATCTATGATACACACAACATTACAGACTCTGCAGCACAGATCTCTTCTGAGTCTACGGCAAGGCTGCACGCCGACGCGAACAGGGTTGCCTTAGCAACGAGTGCAAATTTCCCCCAAACACTTCCGGTGTAGTGAAAACACAAAAATGACCACAATACGATGTACGCTTGTACACTTATTTCATACTACACGTATTATACTTTAACAGTAGCACATTTGTCAGTACTTTAATCCATTTATTTTAGTTTATTAATACAAAAACACAGCCATAGCTGTAAACCCCAAGAAGAACGACATATTTCATGGCGTGTCCAATCACGTTGCATGGTAACACTACTAGAAGTTGTAGTTCGTTCTTCAAAATAGCCGTTTCTCCTAAATGGAGGGTGAAATATAAAACTTTAGGTGCATTTAGGGGTTTACATTGATGAGGAACATGTTTATTTGGAATGAATTTACAAACGAAATTGACATATACAGGTGAAATTAAAATTTTACCACATTTTGTGATGCCCCCCTGCTGGTGAAAACATCAAGCCACAGCCTACATGATCATAGAAGTCAAGAGCTTTGAATAACAGTAGGTTCCATGATTCTAGCCCCTTTCATTGTTGAATTAGAAGCTTTAAAAGATGCACCAATGTCATAGTGTAAAGGTCAATGCAGCTTCGAACTTTCAGACTGACATAATCTTACTCCCCTGATCAAGTCCTTTCTAATGATGCATCACGTTTATTCTGATGACAAAGTTTTAATTTCCACCCCTCTGGACCCAGCCCTTTGTCAGGTGGAGCTTTCCAGGAGATGTATGAATCTCAAGTTGATCAAATGAAATTAAAATAATTTTGTTAAACATAGCAGGTAAATTCTTCAATGACAGCTTTGTTTTGACTTACTGGAACCAGAAACATTACATTTATAATCATGTCAATTTCCTGCACCTGTCTTAGATGTCCACATGACGTCAAAAAAAGGTACCCAGACCAACATCCAAATGTTGGACTGCATACTGACGTCCAAGTGGGGTCATGGTTAGACGTCCAAATAGCAGACCTAGTTTGCACATCATATAGACGTCCATAATTGGTCTTGGACCGACGGACGCAATATGGACATGTTCTGCATGTCCATCAGACATCTAATGTTTAGTGGGAGTGATTATGAAAACACAAAGAATAGCCATATATTCCACTTTCTAACAATCCTTGAACTACCCCTCTGTGGAAAATGTAGTTCCGTTTGAAATCTTGACTAAGCTTGATCACTTTATTCTACACGTCCCATTTAAATATTTGTGGGTGCCAGTCATTCACACCTTTATAATTCATCATTAAGAGAGTTAAAACTGAAGTAGTCACTGCAGAAATTTGGAGGTGCTTTGATTTGTACATGCTTTTTACTGACGCGTTAAAACACATCAGTGAAAACACAGCGTACAGTTTTAAACTTTTCAGAAACCCTGTGTTCGGTCCACTGTGCTCAGCACCTCAGGAATAATCACACTGACACGGTGCTACAACCTATTCTGTAACCAGCTGCTCTGAAAAAGCACAAAGTCACAGCCTTTCAGAAATGTGTGTTTCAACATGAGGAGCAGTACAACTGTCTGCATAGCAGTCTATTGTACTATGAATAGAACTGTGCAAGTGCACTATAGGCAAAAGAGAAGAACAAAATGACTCTACAGGACATCACAAACATGGTGTGTGATAATGCAGTTATGAGAGGGTATTCTGAGAGGATGAGTAGCGTGGGATGACTTGATTCTACATAGAGCTCCAAAAAGCCTTGAAGCAGAGCGGTTCCATCCAGAACTACAGCGAGGCCATAAATCAGTCCGGCTGATACTAGCTTATTGCACAACAATATGCATGTATGTATAGGTCAGTATACGTCAGCTGAAACATGAGGAAAAAAATCATTTAGAATTTAGAGGAGATATCCTTCACATAGTCAATCCACTAGGGTAAACTGTTTTTTGTCTGTGTTCATGTTTTAAAATTATTATCAGCCAAAATATCCTTAGTTTTAAGCTCAAAAGTACAGATATGAGTTTTAGTATCAAATAAAATAAGATAAGATCGTTCTTTATTGCTAATATTTAATTGATATTCATTTATTGAAGTAGTCATAATGGCAGGGCCATAAGCAGAACTGTAACACTATTTATTGGCTTTATGTGTCTTACTTAACGGAGAATGATTGCTCTCAGCTGAGGAGAATACTCCAGCAAAGTTAAATCCAATTACATTTGAGCTCTCAGGCAATCATATAGTCATAAATGAGTTATGTCATTTGTTAATGCATCTTTCCAGAGTTGGATCTGTACACTCACTATCTGATAAAAATAGTAAATGCAAGCTCATTAATACATGAGGCTGAGCGAGTGGCAGGGAGCGATTTGATTTGTTCTCGGGGAAAAAAATCCCTCTGTGATCCCACCCACACCCAAGGTAATTTCCTAGGAAGAGCACAACGCTAAGTCAAGCCTGATCAGCTCTCAAACCCAGACAATGGACTCAGAAAGATAATCTGGGGACAATGACTTCAAAACAATTGAAGTAAATCAAGAGTGACTGGGAGCACTTTTCCATGAGCATGTGCGTGGGTCTTCATACAAACACGGCTTTGTTAAAACAACTGCACTTAATGCAAATGAAGAGGCCCACGGCAATGCTTAGTGGGGCGTGGGCACTGCTGAGGACAAGGCTGGGAGATCAACAGTTCTCAATGCTCCAGCTAAAAACATACACACACACAGACACAGACACACACTCCAAAAACAATAATATCCACATGATGCACCGTGACCCTAATACAACGCAGTCAGAGAGATAATGTCCAACTGCCACACAGAAAGGGAGCAAAAACTCCACTCCTAGTGCCTCATGATGTGCTGTATTTTAAAACGTTATTGTAGCTATTTTAATAATAAATCTAAAGCAAACATAAGAATAATGTTGTTCCTAAAATAACTAATATGAGCACAACATCTTTTGCTGTCATCCTTATTTTCACATTTGTCTTACACATTTTGTGCAAATTTTAAATGATGTCCCTACACATTTTCTTCTTATGTTAAAGCAAAAATGAATTGTCTTAGAATTCAATCAGCAGGTACAGTAAATGCTGAGGAGCCTAAAGCATGCTTTTAATGGAAAATACTTATTTTTAACATGAATTTACATGTTTTATGAAGGTCTCATTACAATAGGAGCACTGATGTTTAAAAAAAAAAAGACCTCTGGGAACATCCTTTGCCCTTATTGTCCTTGCTGTGTCGCTAACATGAATCTCTTATGATTGATTGTGTGTGACTGAATTGCTGATCTGCACAATGAAAACCATGCG